CCCCCCTCCCCGGGGTGATCAATGCTGGCAGCTGTAACCAAAACAAAAACAGGCAAAAAAAAAAAAGGAGAAAAATAAAAATAAAAAAAATTGACCCCCAAACCCGAATTTTCAGTTTTGGACCTGTTAGTCAGGAGCTGAAACTGGGGGTCCCCGTTAACCACGTGTGGCGGTATGATGCTTGATATGATACATTGTATTCAATTGGGACGCTGGACCCTATTTCCAGCAGGTGCAGCTCCCCACCAATAGAAAGGAGCACTCTTCCAGAAAAACAACAACGACAACAACAACAACGCAGTCTAGTGTGTCTCCTGGCCGAACCCCCCAGAGGGCCAGTGCCAAAAAGAAATAGAGTCGCGACTGAAGAATGGCAGTCCCTTGTAGTCCTGGAGTCTTCATTGTCGATGGAGCGATGGGCGCCAGTGACCAGGTAAGCTTTCATCCACACTCAAGCCTCTGCTCTCTCCCAAGTATGCCTCCAAGCCTCCTCCGAGTCCCACGCTGCCTGCTGCCGGCTATCGTGTCCAATCCCCAGCTACACCGAGGGATGGGTGCCTGTCCAACTGCTCCGACTTCCTTCTCTGGCATCTGCTCAGTCAATCCTCTGGGAGACAGGGCGATCAATGCTGGCAGGCCCCATAATCATGTTTCTCAGAAATTCTGTATATGGGACGCTGGACCCGCTTTCCAGCAGGTGATGCTCCCCACCAATAGATGGAGCCTCCCCCTAGGTGCTAGTGGTGACTGCTCGTATCAGCAGCACTAGCACTGGCAGGGGTGGTGTAGATACAGCAATAATGACCGTAATATGTTCTATTCCGAGGAAGACCATAGGGTGCTGGGCCCCAGCGGCTGGCTGGGCAGCTGCTGCACACCCAGTAGGCCCTGGGCTTATCCATAAGTTCTGTGGGGACTGTCCGGCAATTGTGCCATCTGGGACCCGAAATTGCATTCTGGAGAATTCTTAGACTTTTTTGGTGGGACTGGATCTTTTTTTTTTTTTTTTAACTGTCGACACCCCCAGGGCTGAGGTACCCGAATCCCGGAATCGGGTACCTCGGCTGGCCCAGAGAGCCTACCACACTCGGAACATTTGTCGGACCCTTCTTTAGGCCTCTGGGCCTTAGACAGACCCCTGGACTTAGAGACTGACTCGGGCTGAATGGTCGGATGTGGGGTTTCTGACCCTGTTTCGCCGCACAGTACTTGGGACCCTTCCTTTCTTTGTCTGCTGCTGGTCTCTGAACGAATTAAAGGGGTCCAGGCGGCCTCGTACATCCCTGTCACGCCGCTGCATTTACGAGCAAAAGGTGCACCTTGCTCGAGTAGCAGTGGTTCAAACCACCGGTACCTCCGAGTCTCTTTTTCCAGCACACATTATTGCCCACCCCTCACATTCCGAATCCTCAGGCGTACAAGGCCTACCAGGCGCCGCCAGTCCTTTGGCCTGGCAGGCCGAGCCTTTCCCCAGCCCCCCCGTGCTAACAGGCGAGTGCGCACAGGATAGCAGCAATGGGTACTCGTGGTTTAAACCACCAATATACCTACCGCATTTTCCGTACCCCCCGGGCCTCGAATGACTTTGGACTGGCAGGGCAGGCCGATTCGGCTTCCGCATCAACGGCAGCCCCAACCGGTAGGTACTGGTGATTTAACAGTCTTTAGCCACCAGTACCTACAAAAGTTGCAGCAGTTAACAAGCTGCGACAATGACAAACGAACTGGCCACTACGGGAGCGCCCAAATTCATCCAACTACAAACACTTTCTCTCTATTTTTTTCTACATTTCCCCGCGGACGATATATATTGACGTTAACACACTTCATCTCTCGGGGCTCGGCCCACCCACTGAACAATAAGGCTTGCAGCACCAGCCGCCATTTCGTGCCTGTGCAAGATAAACAACAGTTGCCGCTCGGCAGAAATCCAGGTCGGGAAAAAGAGGCTACCATCTTCACCCGAATAGAATGCCCAGTCATTATCGCTGCATCTGGACAGAACATGGGCCCAAATCCGGCAATAATGATCGGGCGTTATATTCCGGTGAAGACGGTAGGGTAGTTAAACTCCTGGCCAAGTTTTATGACATGGTGATGACAGACCTTCGTCACTTTCTTTTTTCTGTGACGTTGTGTTCGCCCTTCACCTTCTTTTTCTGTGACATCGTGATCGACCTTTGCTGGCAGGTGGAGGTCCTCTCAATTTTTCTCGAAAAAGATCCCTGTTAAAGCTGTAAATGTCCTTATGGGACGCTGGACCCGGTTTTCAGCACGTGCTGCTTCCCACAAATAGATTGGAGCATTTGTTTAAAAATAAAAAAAAACAAAAAACAAAGACCTTACTTTTCGCGTTACAAATTACTTACAATGTGTTTTACAGATTACCGATGACATTGGGCAACGGAACTTGAGTGTGCTGCAATCGTACATGGTCATATCATGGAACCTTCTCCCATTTATCAATGTAAGTAAGACTTGACTATGGTTAGCTACTCTACCGTATTCACCCGAACAGAACGCCCGGGTCATTATAGCTGTATTTGGCACAACTTTTGGTCCAGATGCAGCGATAATGACCAGGCGTTCTATTCGGGTGAAGACGGTAGTTTCATGCCTCCATCACCCTTTTCCCTTTTCCTCCTCTCCCGCCCTCTCTCCCCACTTTAAATTTACGACACAGTGAAGAAAAACAGGCAAACAGGAAGTGCACTGTGCAGTGATGGAAAATTTTCAAGCCAAACGTGTCCAATCCACAGTACACTGAGACTCTGAGAGCACACACATCAGTACTTTTTTCGACTGAGCTCTGGACGTAATTGCGGTCAGGTTCATCGAGGTCAGGCTGTAATCCTTGTCAGGTACATCCAGGAGATTCCTCTCTACAAGTGCCATGACTCCAGACATCTTGTGCAGATGGCAACAAGCATACAGACATGGCTGAACAGACTGTAGATTAATTACTAGAAGGGGGGGAGGGGGGGGAAAGACAGGCTGTGCATGGCTCTGCAAATCTGCATGTTGTCACCTCCACTTATAGAGTTTTTGTCTCTTTCAATTTACTTCCTTGAAGGAAAAAAAAAAAAAAAAAAAAAAAACTAGTCCCATTAAAAGGGCCTTTACCCGATATAGGCCTCAGGCCTTGTAAAAATAAAGCAGCACGGGCCTTGAAAAAGTAAAGCATTGTGAAAAGGTATCTCGTCAGAGCTCAGAAACGTGAAAGCAGGTCAAAGGTCAAGTTCTCTATCAACAGGCATATTTAAAACTAAGGCAAAGGGCATTGTCAAAAGACTTACCTGTTCACCAGGAGATGTGTATGTCATGTCTGTTTGGGTAAGGGTGTGTCTGTACGTGC